TATTTTTTCCTACCATTATTTGTCAAAAGATATGCTTCTTGACTTTCTCATTTGAAGTAGGAAAGAGGCTCTTAAGATTCCATGGATGAAGCTTTAAAGTACTTTTTGACATTTCTCAGTTACCTCTTCATTGTTTTTTGTGTCTTTATTTTCCAAAATTTATACAAAATATTGCTTTTATAATTTAGGAAAACATAAACATGTAGTTTTAAAATGTCACCACATATTCTATAACACTTCACGGTAGCACAGCAGGTCATGCACCATCTTCCTCCACTAACTCTTTTCTCCAGCAGTCTACAGTCATAGGAAAGCTCTTGGAGAAACACCTCTCCCTCAGTCAAGATCAGCTCTGTGACTCTAAACATGCTTAGAAAAGTACAGTTGTATAGACTATAGATTAACGATACTTTGAGAGTGCAGCATTAACAGAATATAAGTAGTAGGAGAGACATCTTTCCCATCCTTAGTTAAGGACTGTGGGTTTCCCCAACACAAATGAAAATTTTAAATCAGCTTTATTGAATTGGTGTTTGTTTTCAGACAAGCTCCCCTCTCTCTACTGGTGTCTTACTCCAAAAATGGAAATTTGGTAGAGTATAAATAAACCCCTTTCATTTACATTTTTGCATAACAATAAATAAGGCTACACCTTGTAGCAATACTTAATCTTTTAAGAGAGCCAAAGAAAAGGTGTAAATAGCATTTGGGCCCTCTCCTTTAAGCCAGCACTGTCACTTCCATTTGCTCAACTGTTTCTAGAGATTTGTCAGAAATACTTTTATTCTCACTGTAATAATCAAGACTATTCATCTAAGAAAAATACTGTCTGAAAGAAATAGCAGAAATTGAACATTTTCTTTCATTATTAGAAGGGATGTTTGGGGTAAGAAGTAATAGAGAGGTAAATTGAGTCAATTAATTATTTCCTACTCCCCTCGTTTACCTAGTTTGTGTATATACATGTGAGCAATGCCCTGAGAACAACTGAGAGGATAAACAAGCTATTCTTTGTGGTCCCACCCTCCGATTTCTACACTACTTCCTTCATTTATCCTCCCAGTGACAGTACCTTCATGAAGCACAAGGATTACCCAGACCCCTTATTCTAGTAGCCACCCAGGCTTGGTATCTCTGAGAATACACATTGTGAAGGCTTTGTAATGTGCGAACTTGTCGAGGCCGAACTGCATCTCCCAGAATTCCATTTTCTTATACGTGTCCAGGTAGGGTAGGCTACAAGAGAAATTCTTTTACACTAGTTGGAAGATGTTAGGAAGGTAATAGCCATTTTGTAGCACGCGTGTTCACACACACTGTTGCTGATATGCTTACTTGTTGACAGGAAGCAGCAGTTGGACCTGCAATTGCTGTCTTTGCCCCTGGATCTTCAGTGTCTCTGGTTCCTGGATCAAAGTTATGTATGTTCATTCTCATTGCCAAGGTCAGAGGCAACAAGAAACAACACAGGTTTCAGTCTATTCTAGTGGAATTCAAGCCTACTTATTATCTTCACACCTTCCTGCCTGCCTGTGAACTTCAGGCTTCAGCACTACATGCAGAGACAACCTTGTGGAGACTGCTTAGGAAGTTCCCATAATTGTATAAACCAATTCCCTGTACTTATGTATATATATATATATATGTATGTGTCTATTATCTTTCTATATATATGCATATGTATGCACACAGTAGGATACATATATAATACCCTACTGCTCTATTTTTCTGGTTGAACCCTTAATTATACACATGATATGCCAAAGTTATTGCTCTTCCCTGGATATTCTCTCAGTGGGTTGTCTTCTGGGATTTGGAAGACAATGATTTTATTATTTCTCAAAGCCATTAACTTGGTATTTATTAAATATATCAGGTGCTAAATAACAAGCTCCTTTTCCACTTCATCTCCCAATCCTTTCCCTAAACATGTAGCACACTGAAGGTTCATTTCTTACCTACTCACTGCAATCTGACTTCCATTGATAGCATTCCACTGAAATTGATTCTCAGTTCAGGTGGTTATGTTTTTATTTTACTGGATCTTTCTACATCTTGGTGTGGTTTATTCCTCCCTCATTTGGGACTTTCTTTGCTGGCTTTCTTGCAACTACTTTCCAGTTTCTTTGGAAGGAAATTCCTCCATGCAACTAGGAAACGTTGGTTGTTTCTCTCTTTAACCCTCTTCTAACATTATGCATGCAATGATGGGCTCATGTATACCAATAAGTTTAATGACTTTAGCACCCATATTTTACTGACCTCCAAATTTAAGTCTTTGGCCTGGGCCGCTCTCCTGCATGAATGTCTCCACTTGGATATCCCACAAGCATCTCACACTCAATGTGTCAGCAATTTGATTATTCATCCTTCTCCCCAAATTGCTCATCCCTCTGATTTACTATCTTGGTGAACAATACCTAGTATTCAGTAAGCACTCAATAGTGCTTATTGGGAAGTGAATGAATAAATAAACACACTTAGAAAACACATTTTTCCACTATTCAATTATGAGTGAATAATAGCAAACCAATTCATATGCAATAGCTCTCATTCAAATTATGTGAAAGGGGACACTCCAGTGGACCAGACTCATCCTCCCAACAACCCCTAATTAAGTCAGCCTTAAAGTTTTTGGTTGCAAATACTCTCAGGAACTGATGAACAATAGAGATCCCGCCCCACCCCCACCCCATCCCCCTGAAAACATTTTTTTTGTGTGTAATCTAAGGCCATTTGCAATTCATTCCTAGACTCATGAATCCCGGGTTAAGGATCTGTGATCTGGTTTAAATACAATAGTAGAAAAATGTTAATTACTCTTTTAGATGAGGTGTAACCTCACTAGAAGGTGTTGGGGAATGTATGCTGCTTTCAGGTATCTGTTTTTGTCTATTTGAATTAATAGAAATAAAATCCTAGGGTTGTTTGTCAAAACAAACATGATTGTCCTACTGGGAACTTTTGAAAAAAAATAACTAAAACATCGATGATTTATGTAGTGAAAATAAAGTGGTAAAGGATTTAAATGAAATAAACTATTTAAGATATTTGTGAGGTTTTATCATAATATTTAGATGGAATTTAATAAATACATTTTTAAATTGTTTCTATGTGCTAAAAATATAAAAATCTCTTCTGTATTAAAATGATTGCTCATCTCCTCTGAATTTTCAGATAGTCTTTCTCCAATTAATAGTTTTATTATAGGATTTTAGGAAAATGAAATAATTTTACCAACATTCGTTGAATACTAACTGGTTTACTAGCCAGTGAGAAACACAAAGATAATTTTTTTAAAAAAGGCATCATTCTCTCAAAATGTACTTATTATGAGGTATTAACTATTCTGTGTAAACCAAAATGCAGTTCCATAATGGAGAATAACGTGAAATAACAGTAAAAATAATTACAATAGAACATGAACGAAAAATTATCACAGTAGCCAGAAATACATATTTGAGACAAGAAATTTGACATTGATTTCACTGTGATTATGGTTTTCCCCACATTCCAAAGTATGTAGGGCCATTGGGACATATTTGCAATCTCTTTCTTTTCTTTTTTTTTTTTTTTTGTTCCCTGAGTCAACAGTTCATTACTGAACTGCACTTTCACCTTCACCCAGACTATTTCAAAGAACTGGAACAAGTCGGGGGGGTGGGGGAGGGACACATGCCCCTCAGGAGCCAGGATCCCTGGTCGGTTTCCCTGGACCAGGGCAGGGGAGAGAGCATCAGGCTGTCCAATCTCTGGCACCAGCTCTCCACATGCATGCACACAGCAAGCTGGCAGCTCCTCACTCATAAATACAGACATACTTAACAAAAATAGCATATCATCTTCACAAGGAAAAATACTAGTCTCAAATATCTACAGCAGAGAGCCCAGGGTGACTGGGGCTGGGCCCAGACCTCCAGGGATGAGACAGGCCAAGGGTGGAGCAGAGGAGAGAGAGAAGCCTGAAGGGCTCCTGGCCAGGCCACTCTGTCCTTGGTAGCTGGCTGTAGGCTAGATAGGGATGGGGTACAAATCTGCCTGGCCAGGCAGGACTGGCCCCTCCAGTCTGCCCCACCCCGACCCTGTGAACCAGGCTTTTCTTTCTGCCCTTCCTGCCCCAAGACCTAAGGGCTCCCACAGCTGTCCCTATCTATAGCTCCTCTTCACCTCTGGGCTGAGGCCCCAGAACCCCTGGACTCCATGGGCAATAGACCAAGGCAAAGATGCCACACACCAGCTGATCTTGCAGGAAGTGAGGCCATAAACAACTCTGGGGCACCCTCTGTCTTGGGCATGGGAACCAAGGGAAGGGAAGGGACTATGGTGGTGAGAAAATGCAAGGGCCACCCTAGCTTTGGCATGGGGTGGGGCTGGCCTCTAGCCAGAGGCCTCTGGAGGACATTCAGACTGGGAGTAGGGACTTTGGCCAGATCAGAGGTGGGGAGGGGAGTCCTGGTCCTTGCTTTTTTATTCCAAGCAGCCTGAATCCCTAATTAGTCACGCATGTCCTCTAAGTGGTTCTTGGGGATGGGGATGGAATGAAGAGGAGCCTAGGTCAGGGGTAGGGGTGGGGAATGATCATTGAAACAAAGGCAATCTAGTCTCTCTTTCTCAGGAAGAGGTTCCTAAAACTTTCCAGCTCCCTGGCAGAAAAGCACTTCTGGGAGGCTAAGGGGTAAGGGTTCCACCAATCAGGCAAGGCCATCCTGCACCCAGCCACAAGCCCTCCCATATCTGCCAGCCTCCATGGGGCAGATTTTGGGGACTTTGTGGATTTCAAGGCTGAGAGAACTGAGGTGTGGGGGAAGGTGGCTCTCACAGAAGCGTGGTAATTCTAGAAAACTAGTTGCAGGGGACCAGGTGTAGGCCCAAGCCAGTGATGGGTGCGTTGGCGGGCACCGGCTGCATGTAGTAGTTCTCCTGGTGGCAATGTGGCTGGACGGAGGGATGTGGTGGGGCAGGGCAGGGGATGGGAGGGTGAGTGGATGGTCAGTGTCTGGTCATCTCCTACTGAAGAGCAAGCCCAGCAGAACCACACCAGCCACAGCCATACCCGTCAGGAACCAGCGGTTGAAGCGTTCCTGGCCTTTCCGGCTCTCCGCTGCTGCATTGTTCCCGTAGAGTTCCACAAAAGTGTCCCAGCCGCCGTTCTGCTGGATCCAAGGCTCTAGGTGGTCATTTAGATAAGTGACCATCCAACTTATGATCCGACTCACCAACACGTGCATTTCCTTGTCTACGCTTTCCACGCACAGGGCCCCGCCGAAGGAGAAAAAGGCCACAATGCGACCCCAGTTTACTCCATCCCGGAAGAGTTCGTTCACTACCTGTTCAAAGCTCTGATATGCTGTCTCTGGGGTGATGTGGAGCTGGGATGTCAGGTCACTGAATGTCCACCGGTACCGCAGTTCAAACTCGTCACCCGTCTCCCTCAGTGCGTGCTTCACTGCTGCCATGAGGATCTCCTCCCGGGCATCCAAACTGCTGCTGTGGCCAGTGGCTCCATTCGCTGGGGGGCTGTCCTCCAGGTGCCGGGATGGGCTGTCATTAATGGCCCTGGGGGTCTCCATCTCCGACTCAGTCCCTTCTGGGGCCACAGTCCTGTTCTCTTCCTCATCGCTAAGCTGATTCCAGCTGTATTCTTTCTGGGAAAGCTTGTAGGAGAGAAAGTCAACCACCAGCTGCCGGTAGTTCTGAGACATTTTTCTAATAGGGATGGGCTCAACCAGTCAATTGTCCAAAATGCCTGCTTACTCACTGAGTCTGTTCTCTGCTTAGTGAGTCTCTTCTAAGATCCAAAGCCAAGATAAGATTATTCAATCCGTCTCAGGCAACAGCAGGCAGGTGCAGCCCCCGGAAGATCTTTTGTATCATAGGTCAGGAGAGGAGGTGGCGGCTGGGATGCCAGTAACTCAGCCGGCCTCGCCTCGCGGCAGCTGCCAAATAAAGCAACTCCAGCGGTAGGGATCTTGCAACCCGGCAGGCTGGGAGCTCAGCAGGCGACACAGGAATCGAGAAGCTCAGGAACCAGCCCCCTCGCTTGCTTCCTCCTCCACCGCCGGGATCCAGGGTAGCTGTCCTGCAGCCGGCCGCGGCCTCCTGCAGCTGAGGCCTTATACCCGGAAGCCCAGCCCCCTCGCTCTTGCACGCCCCTAGGCTCTCCTCCGCCTTCTATTGGGAACCAGTAGAACTCTCCCGCAGGTGGCTAGTATAGGTTTAGGGTTTTTTTTTTTTTTTTCCCTGTTTAAGTACCACCCAGGGCGAGGCTTCCAAAGCCCTGAAGGGACTTTTCAATGGGGCTCAAGGTTTCGATGAGGGACGCAAGGAGGGGGAAACTGCCTCAGATCGGCGATCTGACTTCGGAAAGGCCACCCCCGGGCCTTTCCGGGAGGCTGAAAACGGGAGAGCCCCTGCAAACGCCGCTATTTTTCTTTGAATTCCCCAAAGGCCCTGGACATGGTGGAGGCGGGGATTGCTGGGTCCTCCATTCCCCCCCAGGACACAATGGCCGCTGGCACCCTGCACTAAGACCCGATGAGGGTGAGGCGCTGGGCCTCACCTGGGGTCAGGAAGAGGGGTCCAGGCCTGCTCCAGGCTCCCCACAGCTGAGACCACGTTTTCCTGGGGACAGGCCTAAGGTGGCTTCCTGCAATCTCTTTCTTAAATGTGTCTGTCAACAAAATTAACACCTAGGTTGATGCATTAATAAGCAATTAATTGGCTAGTAGGGACATATGGATGAGGATTACAGAAGGGAATCCCTCTGGCTGTGTCTATTCATGGAAAATAAGATCTGAAATCAGCAGAGAAAGAAGGAATTTTTGGAAACTTGTCACCTCATTATTGCAAAACCAATGTTCCTGGTTACTTTACGAATATTATAATATTTCCCCCAAATGTTTCCTGTTTGTATTTCTCAGCATAAACAATAAATCTTTGTTTAAATAAGTGTTGTTCTAATTTATTTCATAAATACACACACACAATTTCTTTTAGATAACGTAGGGGAGATATTACTCAACCTGTAACCTTAAATAAGAGACTGAAATCTTAAATGTCAAGATGGTTTAAGACAATGATGCATGATAACTCCAGTTAACAGTCCCCTCCATAAAAATTCACATTCAGATTTTCTGAAAACACACTATGTAGTCTGAACAAAGCAGGTCCTCAGCCTTATTTTGGTGCTCTAGTCACCAACTTACAATCTCTAGGCTAAAACACAAATGTAGTGGTTGGAATTCAGGCCCCTGAATTAGCTAAACTTATGTCCAAATAGAATTCTATCTTTTATTATCTCCTTGATCTTAAGCAAGTTATGTGACTTAACCACTCTGATATTTTAATTGTCTCATTTGCAAAACTGAGTGTAAAAGTACATAACTTCTAGGTTTGTTATAAGGATTAAATGTATGAGCAAAGTATGTAAAGCACTTAGCATATTATAAATTAGCACAGAGTAACAGCTCAATAAATGATGTGTGTGAGTATCACTAAAATGACATGTGAGTCAAAGTACACAGCCCTAATACGGTACCTACTAGGTGCCAGGCTGAAAAATCTCTCTTAAGAAAACAGAACTAGTCTTCTGTTCACTACTATTAATTACTGTTAACATTATCATGTTATATTTCCACACACCCAATATTTCCTGGCTTCTTGACTTAACAGATTGTGCCCTGTTTCCCGTCATTCTCCGTTAGTCACCAGAGGCACTGCTGAACTCAAGGTGAACTCAAGGTTAACCTATTCTAAGGGTGAAAGAGCATTGCTGTCCATTGAAGTGAAGGATCTTCACTGCTTTGCTCTGTCCTGGTGAATTTCTTCTTGAGACACACCCTCTCTTGCCATTCCCTATACTCAAGTCTTTGCCCATTTTCAATCTTCACTTCAAGTTGCCATCTTACCCACGTAGCAGGACAGTCTTTCAGATTTAGACTTGACCCAACCCATCCAGAAAGCCTTTCTTGAGTATTTCCATAATTTTTCCCCATTATCTTCCCAAGTGGCCAAACAAACCCTTGATATATCCCCCAGGTACCTTTTAAATTTTATCCATTTATTCAAGTTCATTATGCTTGTGTTTTACCTTTTTTGCCTCTATACTACATTGTAAAGTTATTTGCAAACAATGGGTGCATCTAAATAAAAATTTATGAATTGTACACCCTCTTATTTTAGCTTCAAGTACTCCTGGGACATCATTAGTGATAGTGTAAAATATTTCATAGATTAAATTCGTAAGGAAACACCAGATGTTTTTCCTTGTCCTGTAAGGGTTCACTTTATGCTCACTCACACACAAATAAACAAACAAGGTAACAAATAAGCAAACAAACAAAAAACCTTCAATGCCAGAGAACTATGAAATGCTGTCTTTAGGAACTGCTTATAGTAATGTATTCTTTTCTACATTGAAAAAGTAACTGTACACTTGAATGAGAGTTTCTAAGGCAGGTAAAGTTGAAAGCAAATCTGACAAATTATGTTAAGCATCATTTGAGTGGGAAAAGAAAATGTTATATGTAATCAAGGCCACGGTATTATATTTAATTTTCAGAAACAAATAATAACTTTTGAAACCCATAAGCAACTATGCCTAGATCAGTATAAAAATTCATAATTGTGCCTGATGGACTATCTCCCAACATTGGGCTCTTAATCTCTAAGAGGATGGAGTATGTATAAAGTTATTTAACAAAGGCTTTCTATGTCTAGCAAACTCTTTGAGATAGTATTAATAGTTATTCATAATTAATGAAGAATTTCCCAAATCTTCCTTGACTATCAGTTAAAGTCTTTTAAGATAAATTACATTAGTATTGTACTTATGTCCTTTATACTTTTTTAAAAAAATCATAACTCTAAGATAACTAAGGATTATCTATTTTCATAGGTGTTGCAAGTCAAACCATAAATCAAACCATTTAACTCAAATCTTTTTTAATTTTCAATTATTATGGGTACATAATAGTTGTATATATGTATAGGATACATATCCCATTTTGATACAGGCACACAATGTGAATTAATCATATCAGGATAATTGGGGTATCCATCACCTCAGGCATTTATAATTTCTTTATCTTAGGAACAATTCCAATTCTATTCTTTTAGTTATTTTAAAATATACCATAACTCTTTGATTATAGTCACTTTGTTGTGCTATCAAATATTATTCATTCCGTCTATAATATCTAACTATATTTTTGTACCCATTAACCATCCTCACTTTATCCCCCCTCCCCACTACCCTTCCCATCCTCTGATAACCGTCATTCTACAGTGTCTCTACAAGATCAATTTCAAATTCAAATCTTTTAAAGCAAAGATTTTTATTTTAATCTGGGCTCCTTATTCTTTCCTAATAGTGTGTATAATAATCTTTTAGGTAGTTCTTAGTGGCCATCAGCCCCCATGCTAAAACCTACATGAATATGACCAGTTACATTGATGTCATCACCAATACATCCTTCTAAATTAGATCTATTAGAGGAGGTTCATACAATCCTGAGCTTCAGCGCCTGCGAGGAGGATTCTGGGCCCAAAAGCCATGTCTCCCACTTTGGACTAAGAAGACTCTCAGTGGAGATTAATAGTGTCCAACATTATTCCCTGCTGATGGCCATTTGGAAGAGAAGAACACTCATCTTGAATTAAGGAAGAGGCTGAAAGCACAGGCCTTCTTTTGGGAACAAAGGAACACAGAAATCTAACCCAAAAGAAAGGTCTGCCTGTTATTCTAATGCTGTTCTTAATGATTAGATTTGAATAGTTCATAAAAAGGAAACTGAGAGTTTAAGAAATTGAAGGCAGTTTGTGTCTTAGAAGGCAGGGACCCTTTTGTCAGGAGGAGGTCAGAGGTGAGGCAGCACTCGTGGTGCTCCAGCATGCAAGACCCAGAAGCAGTGAACCGGGAGAAAGGATTTCAAACCTGGTTGTTTAATAGTGTAGCCCAGAAACCAAGAATCTAATTATTTAACAAGATTTCCTGATGACTCAGATGTACAGCAGCTTTGGGCACCTCTGGGTATTATCTGCTGAGACAGAAAGAAACAAATTGAAGATACTAGAAGCTGGGTTTTGGGGGGTGCCATCAGAGTGAGTGCAGTGCCTGACCCCAGCTGGAACATGACCTATCTGGAGTGGATCAGAGGAACTGAAGAACCAGATGCTTTGAGGTTAGGTCCTAGATGCTAACCGGCGGGGGGGGGGGGGGTGTAGAACATATTGGAATCCATAGATGGCTAAAACAAAGTAAAGTTGGAATAAGCCTTGAATTCTCAGTGGGTAGGATTTGCTAAGTGGTACAGTATAATTTAGTGATCTGCATTTTGGAAAGCTGGCATTTTCTGTGGAGGCTGTTGAAATGCTGTTAGCATAAGTAGGATCAAATCATCATCTTTATCCTTGGGCAGAATGAATTTGATGGAAATAGTAGGAACTCTTACCTCATTTTAGTTACAATCAGGTTTTTGGTTAGTCCTTCCAGAGTAAGCATTGCTTTATTCAATAAGTTCTCCATTTTCCATACCTCTGTCACTGCAGCCTGGCTGCATGTGATTTAGAAACAGTGAGTAACTAGAAAGGGGAGGAAGTGGGCTAGGACTACATTTTTGCAACCACTTCTAATTTCTGGTGTTTCGTTTCAATGGACGCTGACTGATTTAAAGCTATGTCCCCTATCCCAGTTATAAGTATTCCCGACTGTGATTAGAGAAGCTGCTGCACTTAACTCTGAGGTAGTGTAGGCATAGCTGCTCCTAAGCCAAGCCCTTGAGTAACTGATAGTGGGAATGAATTTAAATGATAAAGGGAACAGACATTGGGAGAATAGAAATAAAAAGCAGAATTTAAACACTATAAACAACGTTATTTGGGACTTGAAGTTTTC